GTCATTGGCTAACATGATCGGCGTAATCACCAAACAACTGTTAAAATATCGCGGAGATGTAATTACCGATCAGTAAACAGCTCTGTTCTCTGTGATCTTGCATGAATTATTCGCGCTCCTGGGAAAAGTTGATTGTCATTCTGTTCTGCAATAAGGGGGCGCTCGCCCTCTGCGCCGATTACAGGGAACTCAGTCTAAGGTAGGAGGGTTCGGTCTGGCTCTATCCCAACTCTGGCACCGTACGACTGGTTTCGTCCTAGTTTGTGCTGAGAAGTAGAGATAAACTGAGCTGGTGAGTCCAAAAGAGGACGAAATCGATCGTGAGGCTTCCGTGTTAAAACTGTGCAGCAACGGAACCCTCCTTCTCCTTCGAGTACAGTCTAAAGCCAGTTAACTCCAAGCTGCTAGCCCCCATTCTATTACGCCGGCTAAGCATTATTCTAGAAACACGCTGTGGTGAACACCAGGTAAGATGAGGCTAAACGTTTAGGGTGGTGTTGGTTTACTAGAGTAAGTAACAGCCTACCATGGGCAATGGCAGGAGCCGGTGTTCGGTGTTTGATAACGGGTATTTACGAAGGTTCGCTCCTGTGTGGTGGGAACACCACCTTTGCAACGAAGCTGTCAGATATCATAGCTGAGGCGATAAGTGTCTTCCGTGCAAAAAGTCACGAGGTCGCGACTCACCGTCTGCATAAGATTGCGCAGGAAGAAGTCGCGCAGTAGTCAGTATGGCACGTTACAACAAGACGTTAAAACGCTGACTACTTGCTTGGGTGTCGTCTGTTCCGTTCATTTTCTGTGTTGGTGACGCGATGACACATGGCATCATTGGCTCGATGTACTTGAGGGCATGGCGAGATTTCGGGTTCAATGTATGAAGTTTATGAAACCAAGGATTCCGACGACTGTTTAAAATCACCATAACTGATAGCTTTATGTCGTCTAAAAGAAAGATACCTGTAAAAATATTATAATGTATACATGCAAACACTTAATTTTCACTCTGCTTCCGAATATATTAGCATGATGTACAGTTGAAAGGATGTTTATTTTTCGGTACGTATTTCCTCTCCTCACCTTTGATACTTTGTCCTATTTGAGCGCGCATAGGCATCTTGTTACTGTGGTGTGGCTCATCGAAGGTTAGTTGCATATTCTTCATAAAATTTGTAGGCCGGTTTCAATGTGTAGATCAGAGTTTTGATAAAGCGTAGCGACAAACGTATCTCACTACGCGTAACCATTCTATTTACGAATGGATCTACCATATTACGCTTCAAACTTCCTGTAGTCCCACTGAACAGGAAAACACGCGCTTGGATTATGCAGATTACCGTCGCATTAATAATCAACAGACGGAGTAACTTTAAACAGCCTGTCATTTCACAATCAACTACCTCAAAACCACACAAAGCAAATGGACCTGTGGTAAATAGTTTGGCTGTAGTTAACAAAAAGGGCTTGCGCGACACACATAAAACTTGGAGCCGTTCCTCTATATACCATTTTACGCGCAAGTTAGTGTATTGTACCAAGCTTTTAGCGAGGTACATTTTCGAAATCGCGTGACGTACTTTCAAGTTAGCGAGGCCAGGAACGCTGATTTGGCGTCCTTGACACTCTCATTGGTCATGGGACATAAACCAATGGGACGTCGGTTAGACGCAGCCATTGAAGTTGGTAGACCAACCTGAAGCTGAACAACGAAAATTCTAAGTTTGCTAACTTCCATCACAGTTGATGAATCCACAAAAACTAATAGGATTCCAAGTGTGGCGTTGACACAACGTTAGTCAGTGTTCGTTTGTCTCTACACCAATAGGCGAACTTTTTACTCAGTTATCGCTCCATTGTCTCCATGTATGGCCTTATGTAAAGATCATAGGAACCTATGTATTCATAGGATAATTAGGCTTCACTTCCATATGATCGCCCATACATGTTGAGACGCTTTGACAAGTGGCTCTCCAAATGGAATCATTAGAAGCACAGTCAATGATGATGGAACCTCCCTATTACGTCCATAGACTAGCATGCTATCCTCATGAAATCGGCATTCTTCAACAAAGAAGCACCTAAATGGACTACAATGTCTACAGTGTTTATACATGCCACATCATCTTGCTAGAAAGAACGCAAGACTTATAATTAGTGGCGAAGCAAGCATTTTACTCTGGTGAGTAGTTGGAACAGACAAACACTGTTGTCTCACCTGCGGGCGTTCCTACGATGTGTTTGCAATCATTTACAAAGGCAACCACGTCCACTAATCCTGCTATGGACCACTGTTTCAGCTAGTCTTAGAAGCAGTCATGTGTGCACGCCGTGACACAGGTTGTTATCGACTTGACAAATACTCGGAAACAATTTTTCATTGGAAAGCAGGTAATTCCGGAGGCATTGTTGAAGGAGGAAAATTGCTCCAAACTCTATGCTTACTATGCGTGTGCAATGCTCCTTGGCAGCTTATATCAGGACCGTAGGGTCACTTGATATTTCAAGCTTATCAATCACTTGGAAGTGAAGTGTAAACATCATGTTGAAACGCAGGATTGACGTGCAGCTTACGACCTTAACATAACGGCAGGTCCATGGGTCCTGTAGCGGTAACTGATTACCGAAGTGGCGCACAGGTGTGGAGACAAACGAACACTCACTAATGT